ACAATTTTTTACCAAACTTCCCTTGATAGATCTGAAATTTGTTTCTTTAAGCATTGTATATTTAGTTCAATCAAGTCATTCATTATTTCATTATACCAGCAATTTCTTAAGTTAAGCTGCTTTTGTTCTTTGTATAATTGTTTTGTTAAACATGTTTCTTTCATGTTTATTAGTTGATGTAGGTACTGAAGTCTTCTTAGTTTTATTTGATAAACCAATGCCTTTAAGTCCACATTCATATAGTAAGGCTTGAAAGGGTGTTGATTTTGGTATTGAAGTGGTTAGGATTATCACATCTTTATTTTCATTTTCAAGGATTTTTAAGATTTTTTTATTCATTTTTCACATCCATATAAGATTTTAGGGATAAGTGCACTTTCAATTAATTTATGCTTTTTTCCATGCTTTGTTATTTAATGCTGTTTGGCTTATTAAGATTTTTATTTCATTAATGTGCCTTTGTTGAAATTTCCCTGCTATTGATGCATTCCTCTACTGTTCTGCTGTTATTTGTTATATCTCATAGGTAATTTATATTTGCTCACCTCTTTTAAGGTTGTCTCATTTAGCTTAAGTTTCTTACCTTCATCTTGATTGTGTTTGTTTTCATTCTTCCACTCTTATCAATGTTAAAGTTTAGTGGATTTTGTTTTTGAAACTCTTCTGCTATGTTCAACATTTGTTGCATTTTCTCTAATAGATGCAAACATCGTATTATCAAGTGATACAATAGAGGTGGGATAATCATCCTTCCATGTTGTATTCCTTGTCTCTTTCTAATTATAGGTGCAATTCCTTTATCAATGTGACTTGCACATATCAGGGCTACAAATATCATGCCTTGTTTAAAAATTCTCACTTATTTCAATGTCCTGAGTTATTCCACATGGTGTATTCATTTGTACACAGCCTTCTTTGCTCAATTCATAGATGCTTTTTAGGTATTTTTCTTCAAGGTATTTTAGGTATTTTTACATAAATCTAGTAGACATGATTTCAAACATTATTTGTCAAAAAGTCTTTTTCTAATTCAAGGAACACTAAATTAATATCTCATTTAATGTATTTGTAGTAATCAACACAAATAGGTGACCTAGGGTTGATCTTCCCTTTTTCCCAACAACAGCAACCTCCAAAAGCCACTTTCTATATTTTTGCCTTAACCTATTTAGTATCAACTTTTCAAAGATGTTGCTGATATTGATAGTTAGAAGTTTTCCTCACCAGTTTTTAATTGTCTCTTATTATCTTTTCTCATATATTTTTTAAACTATTGATTTTTCCCATGTTTTTGGTGTAATCTTGTGCTATTATTTTTGATAGCATTAAACCTTTTCTTTAAACATTTTCCATGACATTGTTTTGCTCATTTCCAACTTGAAATATATTTGATTTATTTTTCCTTGCCAATCCACATCAATGCCCATCCCATCCACATGTCACATTTTGTGTTTGTTTTTTTGAAGTCCTGAAGGGATTCATCAGTGGTTACCCACTTATACTTCCTAATTTCTTTTGGAATAATGTTATCTGGATTTTGATTTTTTAGGCTAAGATCTAGAATGGCATAGTTTCCTTCCTCATCTATATTAGCATGCTTTTATTCTTGGTAAACAATTTTTGTTCACAAACATAATCCAGAATTTTATTTCTGTCTTAGTTTTCTGGGTCTGTTGTTTTAATACGTGTCCAAATACCTTGGCAATTATAACTTTCATTAAGTGACTCAAGCTTTCCCGTATTTATTATTTTAAATAGATTTTTCCAATTTGAGCTTTTTGTGTTGTGATTCCCTTTTATATAATCTACTTTCATATTATTTTCACCTAATAGTATGATTGATTTTTCTTGATTCTTAGCTTTAACTGCATAGTAGTCAATTTGATCTACCGTAACGCTGCAATAAAACGTCCCCTTCTTTTAAACGCCCCCTCGAATAAAGGCCATCATAACGAGGCCTTCATTTTTGCTCCATCGCAGGGTACTTAAACAAGGATAAAAAATGTTTTGAGCCAATCAGACTGTTTGTTTACATTTTCAATTAGCCAATGGTATAACGTCAAAGACAATAGAAATCTGAAGAGAAAATAGCACCGAATCAGCCGCAACAGTAACGTTCCTTCGCCATTAATCTCCTTCGCAGTTGTTGCGATACTTTGCTCACCAAGTGTACTTTTGTCCTGGTAGTGTACTTTTAATACCCTTGTGTATATTCACAAAATGTGCTATGTGCCCAAAATTTAATTCTTTCAAACATTGCTTTTTCAACTAGTGGCCAAGAAAAGCTGCGCGACTTGTTTCTTTTAGCGATACAATATAATTTGTTACACCACTGACACAGAGAGTCAACTAAATTTCCATGTTGTTGTGCAGTTACTACCTATACATACATTTGGGACTCAAGACAGCTTCCTGCTTTGATGACATAGATTTCGTTTCTCTAATGAGCATAGCTCAACAAAATCAAATTAATGTTGTTTTAACATTATAGATGAAAATTCGTTCTATAAACTCAATTTTGTTTCTTTAGACTTTGCATAATTGGGTTCGACTTCTTGAAATTCCATTCAACCATGAACTCATCATTGGTAAACTATGTTTTAAGATAATCTGCAACCCTTGACAAAATATATTGGAACTTCAGCTATTTTCACAAATTCACCTAATACCGCCGCCCCCTTTCCCCCAGTACAATGTTGCAAGTTGGAAATCAATGTGTCTTCCATACACAACATTGCTGAAGGGGAGAGCGGGTGAAAATTTAAAGGAAAACGTAAAAATCTAAACCGTTATCGATTTTTGAAGTGAGTTCCAAAATTTTTCTCCAAGATTGTTGTTTTCTATTTTAGTATACTTTATAGCCCCCTACGACGCCCGCTACGCCGGCAGCCATTGGCCCTGCGATAGAATATTAAGATTAGCCTTGGAAAGACAAGGGTGCCATGAACCTCGATTCCAAAATGAGGACAGGTCACGTGATAGAAAACTGCTTGCACTCCTGTGCGAATTAAATTCACACTCCTGTGACAATCGCTAGGAAAGGGGAAGCCTAAAAAAGAGGGGGGGGGGGGTTGAGGCTCCCCCCAGATATTATGACTAACCTCTAGTTTTGAACATGGTTTTCAAGCACAATTATAAAATGTTACTTATTAAATTATTAAACCAAGACAACTTACAAGAACTACTTACAAGAATTATTCAAATAAAAACATAGCTTGCATAGGCATTATCTATCCATAAGCTAGTTCCATAAACATAATTTTGTTTTTAAGATTCTGTATGACTGAGTTTCGTTTCTGGAGATTTCCAAAAGCATGACAAAGAAACATGCATAATTTTAGTTTCTTCCTATACCTCCGTATCAGGTGCATTTTGTTTATTTTGATAAGAACTAAAAATAATTCCCTCAACACAGTACCCCCGAGAATAATTTACAAAATTACAAAATTAATAATTTAAAAAAAAATTAGTTTTTCTTAAAACAAACCATGGCAGCAATAAATTTCATGCTGAAACAACATCGCTTCATACCATATACCAAATCACACCATATACACCATATACCATATACAAAAATCAATGTCAATAGCAATAAAGTCACTAGCAATGGCAAGTTTATTCAAGTTTGTCGGTAAACGAAGCTCCGCCATTTAGGCCCTTTCTGTTGATTCGTTTCCTCCAATTATCCCTGACCGGAATGCAATGTTGATGATAAACTTTAAGCACTTTACAGGGGTTTAGCACCTTATAAGCCAGCCTTTCTTTAAAGATCCACAAAATAACGTTTTCCATACCATATGTATTTGGAGGGACATCTAGCTCAGTCAATTTGTCAGCAGTTATGTCTCCACTTCCGTAAAATACAAATATATCATGGCTCCCAACGTAAGGATAACCATCTCCGCAATGCTCGGACGCATATGATGCACTGCAGTTTGCAGGATGCCTTGTTAGTGCATACATCAATCTGTTCTCTTTCAAGACACTGGGATTGACTTTTTCCCAGCCTGGTCCTAAGAAATTGTCTTGATGAAGCAAAATTATCATCTTCCCTTTCAAATATTTTGCAGCATAGTCAATATTATCTTTGATGGACGGTGATGCGAAATTTTTATGAATTACGAGTTTATGAATAAACTTTAAATCTAGCATTTTCAGCCGTCTAATGGTCGATTCTCGCCTGACCAAAACGTGAATATGCGATACCAGTTGGTTTTCAAGGTTTCTTTTGAGACACTCAAACACTTCAGCCATCCTTGTCTTAATTTCTTCATCAGTAGGTGGTAAACCTTTGATTAACAAACCTTTTCTAACATCTTCGTGATCAAATGGCACAAATGTTGTCACCAAATGAAACAAGCCAGATTTTTCTTGTTTTAATAGGTGTCCTGTTTCTGAATTCACCGCGAAGGGCATATTCGATCCGAGATTTCGTTTTAGCAGAGATTGATATTTAAACTTCATCTTGAAGAAGACTCCACCAATGGCCTTTGAATTTCCAGGAAAGACTGAGTCATTATCTGTGCGGAGCCAATTGTTTTCAAATCGAGGTTAATACACCTCTTCAATGCTATTGTACAGGAAAGCAACTGCTATCAAAGCAATTATGGTAGTGCCAAAAAACCTGAGTTTCAAATTCATTTTAGAAACAAGGTCAAACGATTTGTCTGCCTAGATGGACCCAAAAACATCGAACAAATGAATTTTTGAATTACCGTCAGTCATTTTTGTTGAATGAATCCAATATTCTGTTCACTGCTAGAAATGCTGGTTCATGCTTGCTCTTATACCTAATAATTTGCATAGCAATAATCAGGGGATTTATATATACACATATATACTTCTGAGTGTAGTAAATCACAGCCACAACCCTTGCTTTTTTAACTGACCCCAGTTCTCAGTGGAAGAGGAACAAAAGTTTGGCCTCTGACCCCATCGAATACAGATGACTCCAGTGACCTTTACTTGCAAGGTGACCTTAGTTTTCCCTCTGTCAGTTAATGCCTGATTTAGAAAGAATTCCTCGTTCACTGTGCACTTTGATTGATGACCTCTGGGGTTCAAGTAAATCACGTTGATCACTTCGTGTGCGGTTCCCTATCACAATAGATCTTTTAATAAAATGTAAATCATTCAGATTGTAAGTGAATTTCAAAAACAACACTGAACTTTTCAGTTATTTTTAATTCAATGAAAAGTTGGCAATTTGACCAATCAATTGCCTCCATATTGTTTACGTGGGGCGCTTTTGTGAATGGATTTGTTGCATCTTTGCATAAAAGAAGCTATTTGAGAGAAACAAAGATAAATATTATTGATTGGTCAAAGGTGGATGGTGCCAAAGACCGGAAAGGAACGTTGATTCTCAGAGAATCTGAAGACAAAACGTACATTTGCCCTGTGAAGTACTGTGTGCATCGAGCTTTTTTCAGCAAGAGGGGCTGTAGAAAGCACGTGGACACAAAGCATAGATGGTACTTTTATTTTGACGAGAAACCAAGCGAAAGATTAATAGAAAAAGGTATAAATAGACAGCAAAGCTGCTCTGGGGTTTCAAAATATGGAGAAGGGTTAAAAAAGCGCGCAGATACAACAAAGAGACCATGTTACTCTATCTCGAATGGATTTGGAAAACAGTACATTGACTGGCTTTGTGCTGTTTACGTCCTCCCCCCAGTTCTCAAGAGATTCGATTTTGCATTTCGTCTAAATTCGATGAGAAATGTTGATTATCTTTGATCGATGCGTATATTATCTTTGATCTATGTTCTGTTTGAATATTCCCTGAGTTTGTTTTTTTGGTCGTTTTGTCGGTAGAGGGTGAGGGAGAACATCCGTCTAGAATTGAAATCGAACGCTTGACTGCTGGGTTGAGGGATAAATTAAAGGTACTGAGGGATATTGACCAGGAAATATTCGATTTGGTAAATTACGAAGAGGTTGAGGCAGAGGTAATTTCTTCTGAAGATTGGCAGTCAGAAATACATGCCAATTTAATAGAACTCGGCGCAAAAAAGTCGGAAATTTCTAAAATCGATGAACAAAACACTGAAGGTAGCCAATCATATTTTTTGGCCTCAACCACAAGCTCTGATCACATTGCAAACCTACTGAGGCTTCACTTACCCAAGTTTGCTGGGGATCCTAGAAAATGGCAAGAATTTTGGGACTCATTTGACATAGTTGAGGGAAATTCATCTTTCTCCCCGGTGAACAAATTTGGACACCTGAAAACTCTCCTAGAAGGGGAAGCCGCAGCCGCCATTTCAGGCATTTCAACTACCGGAGCAAATTATGAAATCGCTCTAAAACTCTTAAAGGACCGTTTTGCGCAAAAAAAAATTGTAAACTTTCACGTTGAAGCTTTAATGCATTTGCGCAGCGTTGTCAGTGACAAAGACGTAAAGGGTTTACGCAAACTTGTTGATGAAATTGACACTAATATCAGATCTTTACAGTCTCTTGGATACGATCTGGAACAATATGGACCCTTTCTTAATCCAATGATAATGAGCAAATTACCGGATGAAATTCGTATAACTGTCACTAAACTAATGCAGAGTGGGAGATAGGAAAGATACTAGATCACGTAAAGGCTGAACTTCATGCCAGAGAACAATGCGCTCAATTGAAACAAAGTTCAGCTAGCAACGCAACTATTTCTAAGCCACCGTTTCGTCAGCTTCATACAACGTCAGCACTTATGAACAATACTAGCAAGATCAGCTGCGGTTTTTGTAAAAGTTTGCACCCATCTACAAAGTGTCACATAGTAACAGATGTCAACCAAAGAAAGGGAATTCTACGAAAACAGGGGCCCTGTTTTATTTGTCTCAAGAGGAGTCATATTTCAAGGAAGTGCCCTAGCAGGATACTTTGTTTCGTGTGTAAACAGCGCCACCATTGGACCTACCATACTGAAGACCTATCCATATTTGCTAAACGAATATAACAATATTATTAAGGAGCAAGAGAGTCGAGGTATCATTGAAAAAGTCGACGCATCGCAATCACAAGATTGTACAGTTGGAAAGACCACATATTTGCCTCATTTCTCCGTCATTCGCCAAGACAAGAGCTTCCGCGAAATGTCCGCGTGGTGTATGATGCTTCTGCGAAAGACAAGGCCGGAACTTCTCTTAACAGCTGTCTATATACTGGACCATGCTTGCTGAAAACAGTCGCATAAATTGTTGCCCGGTTCAGACTATACCCAATAGCCTTAGCAGCTGACATCGAGAAAGCGTTTTTAATGATCTCAGTATGGCCACCAGATAGAGATGCACTAAGGTTTTTGTGGGTAGACGACGTAAATACTCCATCACTACAAATTACTGTCTATCGATTTGCAAGAGTTTTTACCTACAAAGTAGTATTTGGAGTTTGCTGCAGTCTGCTGAATGCCACCTTAAAAAAGCACATAGAATCTTTTGCTGACAACATTCTAAAGTATGCCAAAGTCTTGTGAACTCTTTTAATGCAGATGATGTAAACATGGGAGGTTACGATGAGGAAGAAGCCATTTAGCTGTACAAAGTTGCTAAGGAAATAATGAGACAAGGAGGCTTCAATCTTCGCAAATGGGTATCAAATTCGAAGCAGGTGATGGCGCAGATAAGTTTCAATGAATCCCAACAAGACAGATTGATTCCTAAATTATCTTAAAGGGCCTCTCCAGCCAAAAAAAAAATTTTTATTAACTATAAAGTTTGCATCTGGTGCGTGTATTATGGCAAAGTCGTTTTTTTGCAAAATTCCAATTAGTTTAGAAGTTATAAGGCTTTAAAGTTGCACCTTTCCGAGAAAAAAACGACAAGAGCTGAATCAGTTTGGTGACATTCTGACGTCACAATGTGTGGCTCTCGTTCGCCATGAATTTCGTATATCTTCCACTGAAGCGTGAAGGAGTCATGGTCACGCGTTGATAACTGCATCTGAATCTACAGCAGGTGCTTTTAAGGATCGAAAAATATTAAATGTTTAGAATCATTCAAATTCTGCGGGTCGGAATGTGTCCATGCTGTTTCACGACTTTGTTTTGATCACCTGTGTAGGCCCACAAAGCTACGGCTTCTTGTTCCAGCTCTTCCCTCGCGTATAATTAATCGAAATTGACACTTCAGTTGTTCTCCAGAAACGATGAACAACTAAATACTTCAGAATTGATGTCTGAAATGCTCAAACTAAAAGCCGGTGGAACAGAACTGAGAGTACCATCACTTGCAGTGTTCAATTTGCGAATCGTCGTCGGTCGATTCGGCTTGAGGCGAAACTAACGAAATGCACAGTGCAGGGCCGGCGACACGTATTTGAAAGTGGAGGGGCCATCAAAGTTTTGAAAGGGCTTAGGAAAGGCCGCAACCATGGTAGGCCGTAAGCTGTGACCAAAAAAGGTGCTCCAAAATCAATTTTCGTTGCCCGCATCCGGGCACAACTTCACGACTGTTTTTTCTTGTTTATAATGTGTTACTTAATATAAAATCAGTTGTTGTCACTTTGACAAACATGCATCTCGTGAGATACGGGGGTCAATAATTTCTAGGTTTTATGACGTCATCGATACAGTCAAATTATTTAAAAAACATTTTTTGACACAAAAACTGCCCTCGCCAGCTAGATCACTTTAAGTTAGTATACAAACGTGCAACTTAGAGCGTTGTCAAACGCTTCGTGTCTGAGAAGATGCCTTTTAACGGTTGATGACGTCATCACAACATCATCATGTATTATGGTCAAACCATCTGTTTTTGTAGTTAACACCGTAGTTAGCAGCATGAACGAGCTTACAGTTGGCAAATGCGAGTAAGCTTGTTCATACTGTACAGGTTATTCTCGTACAGTGTTGAGGAGAGGGGGGGGGTCAATGGGCCCATAAATAATAACTCAATTGAACAAAATTTCTAAGTAATAATCGAGCCTCCCCATCAACATTAACAAAACATAATATTAGAGACAATAATGACAAAGGTCCATGAAGTCGTGAAGAAATTTTTGTTAAGAATCTCTCATCTTTGTTGGCTAGGGCTAAAGAAGTTCAAAAGCTTCTGAATGTTACGAAACGTGATTGCAGGGTAATATACAGGGCAATATGTATGTCATACAGATTTACACTATGGCGTTCGCATCTATTTGCAACAGTGTGTCGGTTGTGGTCCAATTTAGTTAATGAATGGAACGTTTTTCATTTTCTAGCCTTTAAGAATTTCTAAGAAAATTTCCTTTTCATGCATTATGGTGCTAAGACATCAGTTAAGCTCAAATTATCAGGTATCAGATATCAGTTATCAGGTATGGTAAGTATGATATTTGATGCGTACATTGTATATCGATTGTATTTAAGAAGTGCAAGATTGAATGAAGCAGTGCGATATGGAAGGAAACAGAATAAACAGTTGCCTAAAGTATTAAATGTACTTGTGATAAATTATATCTCTTCCATTAAATATCCCTAAGTCTTGCGCCTAACCCATTTGTTTTTTATTCTCAGTTATTTAAACGTATCATCTTGTAACTGTTATTTTCTTTTTCTTTCTAATTCACAGAAGGGGTGAGAACCATGGATTTTCCGACAAAAATCCAACAAGCTTCTATTTCTTTCTCATAAATTTCAACATAACATAACGACATCAGAACTGAAAAAAAGATCATTTGATATATTGAATATTCTTATGTTTATTTAGATTCAAATTTTTTCCATCAAAACATAGCATTTAGATAAACATAGAACCATGTTAAATTTTTGAAAAGAGCAGAGGTTTTCCGACAAAATAGCAGCTCAGCTCTATAGTAGTGTTTTTGCTCCCTCTGGCACCCTCTATCTACACCATTGCCACCGGCGCAGTTTAGCCACCATGACAATTTTAGCAACCAAAATAGCCACCCTAGCAGTTTAAGCAACCATAATTTTCAAAAATTTCTGGGAGCATTCCCCATACCTCCTAGAAGCGTCTGCCTTAGGCATGCTTCATAATTTAATTTTTGTCCTGACCTGGGGCCCATTAATTCTCTCCGCGGCCCTGTTCTCGTATACAGGTTTTGAATAGTTAATGACGTCATCCCTTTATGATTTTTGTACTTTACTTTCTTACATCAGGTTGAAATAAATTATTTTATGAAAAACATTTCAGCTATTTAAGCTTTGTAAACGCGTTAAAAATAAAACAGTGGTAGCGCCAGCTGTAGCAGAGTGGGAGGGTAATGGGCGTGACCCAGGAGACTAGGCCTTTACTGTCTCATTCTAATTGTTTTTTATGCCAGGTGCATTTTCATAGACAAATCTTGAAAAATATGACCTGCCCCTACCCAGTGCATTTTTCATCAATTTTAGGAGAATATCTGGACAATGTTTTGCAAGAGGGGAGGGGGGGATAACCGTCCATACTACCCCTTTGGTGTCGCTACTGGAAAGCAAGAATGTCTAAAACAATTGGTGTCGCTACTGGAAGGCAATAATATCAAGAATCTATCAAACAACGATCCATTTGTTTAGCCGACCGCCATGTTTATTTTGAAGCAATTGGTACTTAGGTATTACCCGGACTGTGATATAGGGCCGAGAATAATTAAGCAATATCGGCTTTCGGCATTCCACGTTATACACCTTAAGCGCGGGAATGGTGAAGTTTGAAGCTGAATTTCAAGAGAATTGCAGGTTTTTACAGTTGACAACAAGAGGATTCGTAATCAGCACGAAAAAACACACAGGAAAATGCTTATTAAACGTAGTGCCGGAATGGGGGCAGCGAGACCAAATAAAAATCTGACACAGCTTACGGCCTATGGTTGGCGGCAAGAAAAATTTTATAATTGTATGACTGAAGGTGTCGCAAAGTCGCGTCTATTGTGATGTTGACTTGAAGTAGAAAAGTTTTGCAAAGTTTTAAAATAACCACTATCATATAGCTTGTGATAAAACCTTTTTTTTAGATTTTAAAATTACCCGAAATAGGATGGGGAAAAAAAATGAAACACGGATTAATAAAAAAAATTAACGTTGAAATATCAACAGAAGAACTATCAACTAAAAATAAAAAGTTAAGCAATTTTGTACAGTTAAGATATAACTTTGTTACATCTGATCTTAACTTTCTCGGAAATTAAATGCTTTAAAAAAATTTGAACTGGGCTTGTCAAAATGAGTTTAAATAGAATTTATAATTGTGTCGATATTTTCTTTTTCGGGATGGATTATCGAAACGATCAAACTCTAAAGTTTTCTTGATGACACTTTTTAAGAACGAATCTGCTCATACTTTATTTTTCATATCTTCAAAAAAGTTCTTTCCAGCTGTTTCTTTACCTTCAACAGCTGATTTTTCTCTTTTTTGTAAAGTTTCTGAGAAAATTTTTAACAAATTGTTAACAAATAGACCCTGTGTGCCAAGTTTAGGCAATGGAAAAAATGAAACTCTTTCAATTTGTGCTGGCATCAAGTTATTTAGGACTAGATTTCTCGATCAATTTGCTAAACCAAGCTGTCACACGTTGTAAAACTTAGACAGTGACCGAATTCTTCGATCTAATTCCCATATTAAATTTTATGAACGTCTTCTATGGTAAAGACATAGCAACC